GTTTGGTATGTCGATCTTGGAGAGTAGTTGGTCTAGTAATCGCGACATGAACTGTCTGGTGCTCTGTTAGTATTATAGATTAGAGTTTAAAATTGGTTCTCATTGAAGTAAACTGTCCCAACTGCCTGAAAATCAGTCTGATTTCAATACATAAGTTTTTTTTTTTAGGCGAAGAACTAACTTTATTTTCTTTTGTTCATTCATGTTGTCTTTTGCTCTTCCTTTTCACGAAATAACTGTCCTAGTTCATTTGAAGTTTACTGTTATTCAGCACAAGTAATTTATGGCATTCTTAATTGCATTTCAAAGCTTCCTAGGACTCATCTAACTGTACCTCGTGCTATTAGTTGGGCTATTTGTGACATCTTGGAGTGGTAAGTTGGATTATTGCGTGCTCTAGTTTTGTTGGTTGACATGGAGGATGAAATTGGCTGTAATTGTTAGAATGCTTATGTTATAGTCCTTGGAAATTCTGTGGTACTGTGGAGGATAGACATTGGTTCTAAACTGGATCAACTTGATGCTGTATAGTGGCTGATTTTTAAGCCTAATTACTTCGGGTATTTGAACTTGAATTTGGAGTTTTAATTGGGAGGAAGAAATTGGCTGGATGGAGAGGAGTGTATAGGGAATGGGGTTATCTTTAATAGACTTTGTACTTTCATTCATCAAGTATGTTCTTGATTTGGTGCTCTCCTTACATTATAGAATGAAGTATCTTGTTCTTGGTTTTGATTACCTAAATAAAACATACCTACTCACAAAGGTTATCCTGTTGAATGCTCCCTTAGAGTAGCCTATATTTGCATTTCAAAAACTTATTATAGGTTGTAAATGTACCGGGTTGGGTTGAGTGGAGTTGGCATTTGTGCTAATGTTAAAAATCAGTTTCCCTTAAAAAAAAATTTCGACGTGTTTAGGCGTTCACGAATCCTAGTAATTTGATATCAACTTCCAACTTCAACTGGAAAATAGTAGAAGAAAGACACAAGGGAAGAATTGCTAGTCAATTATGAGAGCTAGGATCAAGCGTCACAACTCTACCACCACCTTCTCTACTCGCCCACACCTATCATCCTAGCCCTCTCCAATATTAGATTAGAGGACGCAACTGTCATATATTTTTAATGGCACTGTGAGCATAGGTAAGGGCGAATGGGCGCTCATTCAGCCTAAATGGGAAAGATAGGGTAGGTTAAAATTTGAGTAACACTATTAAGCACCATTTATGTTTGAATAACGTTATTCATCTTCAGTTAGATTACAAACACAATTTAGGTGGTTCTTAATAATATGTTAAATGAAATGTGAAATTAAACGACTTATTTAATTTCACATATTATTTAATGTCATATTAACGCCACCTAAACTGTGTTTGTAACCCCAGTGTGAATGAATAGTATTACTCTTTATGTTTAACACTAGGTGGCATCACCGTGTCATGAAATTATATGTTCAATTAAATACAAGAATTTATAATTCATTTATTATGACTTATCATATACTTACACTTAAACTGGTGCTCTAAGCTTTTGAGGTGGGCCAATTTTTAATTTTTCAAGATTATTTTGCAAAATAAATAAAAATGGTTTATTAGCACAAAACGTCCATACGTTTCGCTCTTAGTGTGTAAAACATCTTCACGTTTCAAATTTTTTCATTTTCACTCATATTTAAACGTTTCATTGTGGAAAATGTCATTTTCATCAATTTTTATCCAATTTCTCAATTAAAAATTATAAAATGACAAATATATCCTCCTATTTAAATAAAACAAAAGGAAAAAAAATTACAATCATACTCCTATTTTTTAAAAATAAGAACAAATAAATCCCCTCATCACTCATTGCCCCTCTCCTCTTTCGACTCTTCACCTGTTCTCTACGAAATCACAGCTAAAAAAATTCATCTGAGAATTTAACACATAATCAGATATTCAAAACTCATGTCGATTTCTACTAAAATCCCACACTTTTTTTATCGCTCTAGGAATAAATTCTTGAAACCCATAAAAACTCATCTTTACCCTATTCACATACAACTTTTTATCGACCCCATCTTCTTTTATGTCCAGCCCATTGAAGAGTTGCCTCAAAAGCTTCAAGATATTATCAAACTGTTCTAGGCAGTTCAAAAACCAAAGGTCAAGTATGAATAGTTGTTGTTCTATGGAAGAAATTTGAAGCCTTTGGAATCTCAATATAAAACAAGTGAAAATTGTTAATGTATATACATATATACATAATATACATGTTAGTTAGTTCCACATTAATTAGAAAGTAAAACATTCCTATCAAGTTAAGCTATAAATAGGATGTCTCTCTTGTAAACAAATTACAATATTCAATATAATTCTAT